TTGTTCGAGCCATATGAAAGAGGATCCCTACAAACCCCATAATCGGCCCGAACAACACTATGTTTTGTCCTTACAATAGTGGAGAAAACCTTCCCTGATTCATTTTTATACCTAAATTTCACATTTCATAACTCTCGCTAGAAGCAACTTGTGCCCGAACTAATTTGGAGTTTCTCACTCCTAGCTATGCCCTACCTAACCATCATATTCCTGACCGAAAAGCTTTTTATCACCTCGGGTGGTTCCCTCGTGAGCTCACTTTGAAAATCTGTTTGACATAAAAATTGAGAAGATTGCCTAAAGTGATCCGAATGTTTTCAAATTTTTACAGACTTCTTAAAAAGACTGCAAATTGACTGAATTTTTTGTCTAGAATCGTTTTATTCCAAAACTAAGAGTCTAGAAAATGTAATAATTCTCAAGATCGAAGAAATTTTCCGTTTTTCAGATATGATAATTACAATATTATGGCGTCTTCCAACCGATAAGCAAAGACTTCGTTTCTTACTCGTCGGAATTACGAAACGATATTTAACAAATATATCTCGAGCACCAGTGGATTATTTTATTCGACAATGTTATTCGTAAATATATAATTAAAATTTGTGAATAAAATTCAATTTAATTTATTTAAAAGAATTTTGGAAGTTGATCCATCATGTCGTGATGAAACAATAATTCGTAAAGCATATTTAGAAAAAGTAAAACAATATCATCCAGATTCATCATTTCAAAATAATAATGCTGATCATACAAAATTTAATCAAATACAACAAGCTTATGCAGCGCTTATAGTAAATTAAAAAACATATGTTTTTCTTTGTTTTCAAAGAAAAACAATATATAAATATTTTTTTTTTTCTATTAAAAGGAAACATTAAAATCAAATGGTTCTCTTGAACAGTCATCAATATCATCTACAGATGATGATCATATTAAATTTGATATTCGTCATACAGCTCCTCAACATCGAACACATTTAGAATATGGAGGCTTCGGGTTAGTTGCCTGTGGGTTCTTATTATCAACTTTTTCTTTTGTTTCATTCTTTAATTTTGATTATTTTTCTTTAGCATGGGAACGCCAAGTCAAAGACAAACTGCATACTACAAAATGCGTGCTCAAAAAGCACATGAAACCGTCTATGAATATCGACGAGATCGAGAATCAGTTGAAACAAGAGCAGAATTAGTTGAAAGAAAGAAAAGAAAAGATGTTAGAGCCACGTAAATTTTTATTTTTTATTCTATTTTTGAACAATAAAATAAATAAAAATGTTTTTTTTTCTATACAGAAATTTTATTGATCGTCTTGTTGAAGATCTTATTCAAGAATCAATGTCACGTGGTGATTTTAATAATATTAAACCAAGTGGGAAACCATTACATGAGCGTAATCCACATTATATGGATTTTACAACATATAAAATTAATGAAATTCTTATTGATAATGGTCAAAAACCATATTGAATAAGGATTTTTTTAATTTTTTTTCAATATTTTAGGTTATATACCTGAATGGATTCAAATTGAAAAACAAATTCGAGAATCTATTGAAGAAGCACGTATAAATTTAAAACGTGTTTTTAAAAAAATTGCTTCAGAAAATTCTCAGTCTTATGATGAACAGAAAACATATCTATTGAATAATACTAAATGGAAACAAGCTTTAGAAAAATTTCGCGTTGATATTGCTGAAGTTAATGTTAATATTAATAAACTCAATCTTATTGTGCCTATGCTTTGGAAACAGCAGGTATAACTTAACTATTTTATCTATAAACTACATATATAACAATGAATCGAAAAGATCTTAGACAAGATGTTTGTTCACTTTGGATCCCCTAGAAAGTGTTTCCAACAAATCGAAAGCTATAAGTTAGGATGTTCTTTTTGAATATGGGCTTAGAAATTTTGTCTCATGCCAGTGTTCGTTCGAGATCAGTGAAACGAACTTTCAAAAAATTTGTTTGAGTGAAAATTTTTTTTACTTTCACTATTGTGACTTGCAACTAAAAGTTGTCGTGCAACGAAGCATCTTAAGTTTCGTTTATTTTAAAGCCTTAATTTTGAAAACTTAACAAGTATTTTATGTTGAAATGAGTTCTTGGAAAAATTCTTTTAGACTTACTTGAGTAAAAACTGCAGCTTTGTTCAATATCATATTTTTTAGAACAGTATTCGCTCCACAAAATGACTCACTCTCATAATTTTTAGCATTTTCGAAAAGGAACTTACAGGATGAACAAAAACCTGTTAGCTCACATTAAAAAAAAACTCTGTCAGGTCTTTTAAAAGATCTCTCACTATTCTTGAACAAAAAAAAACATTTATAAGCCTTTATTCAAAATTCTGGTCACAATGCAAAGGTTTTGGCTCATCTACAATGTTTCTCAGTAGACCAAAATGAACAAACAAGTTTTCATCCAAACTAATTTTTTGAGTTACTTGAGGATTAAGACAATATTTTCTGAGTTCATATTAGGAAAAGGCATAAAATCATAGCTTTTGACTTGTTGGAAATACTTTTTTATCAGGTCAAAAGTAATGAAACATCTTGTATAAAAACATTCCGATCACTCATTATTTCAATTGATTTATAGGTACATTATAATGCTGAGCAAGAGATTGCAAAAATCATTGCACTTGATCCCTCAAAAATTGAATTACCACTAAGTGAAGAAGAATTATCATTGATTCATCAACAAGAATTAAATCAACGACATCAAGAATGGATGAATCATCAATTAAATCAACGTTATTCTGTCTTTGATGCTATACGCGATCTGTTTCAAGCATTAAGAAATTTTAAAGTTTAATTTATTATTTTTTTTTTTTGTTCTTTTAATATTTGTTTTTTTTTTTTCTTTTAATGTACAAAATGTCGAGATATAGCTGTTTGTAAAAAAGAATTTATTCAAGCACAATACTATTTTTTAAAAGATAAAAAAATGACGAAAATTATTTTTGTTGTTTTATTGAAGATGGATTCTTTGCTAATGGATGGATCTGATCCCAGTGGCAATGGCCATCATCAAAATAATAATAATAATAATAATAATAATAATAATATTAAATTTTCGCCTAATTCATTATTTGATCGAGATACATTGGCTACATTACTTCTCGGTAATCAAAGTCCAACATCAGGTGGTGTTACATCATCAGTTGATGAATGGGCTGATAGTGCAGGAGAATTACTTGTTGAATTAGATAATCTTAGTATGCTTAGTCAAATTTGTGACAGTGTACCAAGACTTCCACCAAAACCAACATCAACAAATCGTTCAAATGATGAAATTAAATCGTAAATTTAAATTTTATTATTAAAATATAGAGATTTGTATTGTTTAGTTCATCGTATTCACAACAACCAAAACATCTATCATTTCGAGATATTATTGCTTTTTGGCAATGTTATGATCAACTTTATATTGAACAATATCAATATGATAGAAGATATTCATCAGCAGTTATTGATCAAGCAGTTAATAGTTTTGATATGTCAGAATATGATATTCTTTCATCATCTCTTCCACAATCATCATCATCATCATCACCACCAAGATTACCTTCATATAGACGATTTAATTCTCAAAATGAATATGAACGTTTATTTCATGATTTTTCATCAGTAGCAAATGATGAACTCGATGCTTGTTTATCTGTTAATAATAATAATAATAATAATAATAATACTACTAATAATAATAAACCTGGTAAATAAAAATATTCTATTGTTTAAAAGACATATTCATTGTTTATTTGTTTGCATAGGTGATATGAATAATGCAGCTAAATTATCAATCCTTTCAAAACTTTTACCTATGACAACACATTCATCTCCAGTATCAACTGATAATGATCTCAATTCATTTGTTGCTGATCTTGATCCACATCCTACACCAAATATTAATGATATTCTTGCTAATTTAAAAGCCGGTTTAATTGAATCAAATCTTCATTTACCATCATTTGATGAATCTCATCTTGATCTTCCACGACAACGTTCATCTCTTACACATAATCGTCTTATATCATCATCTATAATAAATAATATAGCTGTACCATCATTATTTATTAATGAAAATGAACATATACGTCTTGTTGATTTATCAAAAAATTTATTAAATAATCTTCCATTATCAACAATAAAACATTATGCAAAATTATTACAATGTCCAATTGTAATGTGTCCAGAATTTGTACGTGATTTTTTAATGCGTAATAATAGACAAGCAAGTACATCACGTTCATGTTTTTGTACAACATTAAATGATGCTAGATTAATATATGCTGAATTAATTGCTGCTAATGTACCATTACCAGCAACACCAAAAGAAGACGATTTATTATTATTAACAAAAAAACGTAAACATGCACCACCAAAAGGATGGGAAGATGGATCAAGTGATATGATTATAACTGTACCACAAGTTAAAAAACATAAACCAAAATTAGATTATTCAACAATTATACTTGATCATGATTATTTAACTGCAGAACAAATGGCTAATTTATGGAAGCGGCCATCTAAAAAACCTCTTGTCACTATACCATTGCCTGTATCACTTCCAATGCCAACAACAGAACCAGAAGAAGATATTCGTTTTATGGAATGTTCTCCTACACCACCGGTATCAGCAACACCTTCTCAAGTATCATCATTACCTCCTGCTCTTTCTCTTCCACCGCCTCCACCTGCACCAATTCTTTTCAAATTAAGAGACTATTTTCATTCTCAACCACCACCACCATCACCAACATTTTATGATGCTTATTCTGATGAACGATTTATGCAGATTACTCGACATCCTCTAATAATTTTATCACAAACTCAACTTGATTATTTACTAGATTATCTTTATCGAGATAATCATGCATCATCACTTATTGACAGATATCATTTGTATTAGTATTGTCGTATTGTTATTTACTAATGAGAGAATTTGTTCAGCGCAATAAATACATGTATGTCTATGTAACTAGTATAAGAGATTTCAAAAACTTCTATAGAATTACAAAGATTTTGATGAAAACATATCTTCAGTAGATATGTTACTTTTGAACGCTAATATATAGTTTGTCTTTGAATGATATTCGTACAGAGTATGAGCCGTGAGTTCTTTAATTCGAGTTCGAATATAAATGAATATTGAAATTATTGGCTATAGTTTTGAAAATGAACGAAACAAAACAAGTAAATCTTTTTATTTAACGAAAGCATAAAGTTAAATTTATCTCAATTATAACTATATTCCAAATAAGAACTTTACTGAAACTTAGCCTAAAGATAAAGTTTTGTTGGATTATAAATCAATGCTTAGTAGAAACTAAAGTATTTATCTATTTAAAGAAGCTTCTACCATCATAATCAATCTTTTTTTTCAACGTGAAGATGTAGTTGTGATTGAATAGAAGTCCCACCATCCTATATACTCTACCGATGTGATTTGAATTCGGATAAGAGCTGCCGATAGCTAAACACTTTAATGGTTGGTTATCGTCTGATCACCATGGTACCGCGATATATCAGCAGTACTGCGAACAAACATGCTATATGAATTTATTTTCTATACACCCTATCCTTCTTATATACACTGTAAACCTTAAATACTCTATACTCACAATCGATATAAACAATTGTTGATTATTATTCATCTACCTATCCTCTTCCTTCGAACAAAAACATCTTCTTTTCAAAAAAAAAAAAACTCATTTAGGAATCGAAATGGTACACCTACTCATGATTAACGATATGTTCGATCCATACTTCAGAAACATGTAGACGAACTTTATTTACTATTAAACAAGATATCTGAATAAAATCATAATGCTTATTTTTAATTATGAATAAAAGTAGTCAAAGAAACTATTCGAGCTTTTTAGTTTTTGCTATTCACAATACAAAAACAAAAATATTCAGTATAATTTAATTCATCCTTAAATGGCTACCTAGTCTTGATAAAAATAATCACGCACATAATATATTTATCATATGGAATAGATACATGACAAATAGTTTTTATTATAAAACATGCTATCGATAGGCATGCAAGATGCCACTAGGCTACTTCATCTACTATTCAGGGAAATACTGGAGACGATTCTCCGTTGTGTTATACCAATCAAAAACAAGGAATATATGTGTAAGAAGAAAAATGGAAGGTTCCATAATTTACTTTTACCATTCGTATATTTGCGTTGATCTCTTTTCCTTTTTTCTTCTTTTTCTATGACAGATTTCTCGTCTTGTTATAACGTGTGCTTTTTCCCGTTGTTGTTTCTCTGTTTTTTTTTGCCCTTCTATTTTGATTTGTGTATGGTACGAAGATGACGTCCGCTCATGTATATATGCCAAAATCGATATCTAATAGTCGTTATCAAATTCGAGAAAAAATTTTTACAATCAGTAATAATTTAAAAATCAAAGATCAATTTGGTCATCACAAATATACTGTCCGATCAAAACCATGGACATTAGATAGAAAACTTACATTCGAAGATACGAATGGCAAGTAAGTGAAAAGTGCCACACAAATATGTTTTCATACATATGCTATTACTTTGCTTTTTTTTTTTAGTGCTCTTTTGAAAATTCAGCAAAAAGGATTTCATTTACTTGATCAATTTAGTATTTTATCAGCCCGTGATGGTGATTTAAATCAACAACTTGCATCTATTAGACAAAAATTTACTGTTTTTAAACATAGTTATAAAGTTTATTCAATATATGGTGAATATAAATTGAAAGGATTTGATATATTTGATCGTTCCTTTGCATTGACAAACAAAAATGGTAAAACAATTGCTGTTGTACGTAAAAAAATGTTTGCAATCACTGGTATATATGAAGTTGAAATAATTAATTCAAATAATGATAAAACACAAGAAGATCATGCTTTTATTTTAGCATTAATTATTGCCTTACATTGTTCACTTTATTGTTTATAATGGAAATATTTTTTGTTGCGATAGTTTTTTTTCTTTTTTATATACTGAAAAAAAAAAAGTTCATTTATTTTTATGAGAATTGTAAAATATCGCAATATGTAATGCAATTACGTTAATACTTGCAATAAATATACTACTTTCAATGAAAGTTAAAATTTTGTTTATAATTGTTGTTCTATCGTACAATTTTTATTAATCATTGAATAGAAAATGGATTGAAAATTAATGCGAACGGTTCAGCAAAAGTCATAATAATGTTTTCTTGTATGGCTTTATAAGATACTGTTTTATCAGTATTTATATTATTTGATAACGACCGTTCGATAATGTATCTATTCGATGAAGTTTAATTTATAGAAAATGGTCTAATTTAATTACGAATTCTTCGAGTCTATATTTTTAGAAAATATATTTCAAGTTTTTGTCAAAACTATGAACTATAGTTGTCTAGATGAAAAAAAAATAAAAAATAAAATCGAAATACATAATAAAAATACTACTGATAAATGCAAGGGAAAACAAACTGGTTTCTATGTTACAAATCATTTGAAATCACTTTAACGTCGTAAGGATACGAATAATGAATGACTAGAAATAATTAAAAATTTTCGGAAATCATGAGAAATCGCAATAAAATCTTCAGTAATAAGATTTAAAGTAAATCTCTAATTCAAATTGATTTCTAATGATTTAACTTGGTTTTCGATAATTGTCAATATTTCTAGTATTGTTTCGTAGTGAAAAAAAACGAACCTAATTTCCATTCATAAAACTTACTGGACATCAGAGATATCATATAGAAGTCAAAGAAATCAGTTTGTTCCTCTTGCANTCTCTGCTCCGGCAGTGAACGAATAAGTCGTGGAAGACCTCCTTCTGAAAAGAAGTCTAAACTAGCATCACCAAATACTGTCCTCAGTTTTGACAATGAAATGCATTTGCCTGTGACAGCAAAAAGAAGAAGATGTGCTTATTGTAGCACCAATGAAGCAATAGATTTTCGAACCAACATCGAGTGCTTTACTTGCAAATTACCATTTTGTTTAAGAGATAAAAAAAAATTTCTTTTTTGACTATCATAAGATTTTTTTGTAACCATTTTGAGTTAAAATAAAATAAACTGGTTGAAAAATGTTTTTGCGATTAAAAAAAAATTCCGTCCTCAAAGGGTTAAATTACACTCAGGCGATTTTGATTTGTAGTATGATGTCAATAAAAAAATGCATGCTACAATGCCTTTTCAAATATGTGCTACGCATGATGTATTCAACTACGATCCTTGAAAAAATCATTCGGATATTTCGTTTTTGAAGTAAAGCCTTTCAGATTCAAAGCCCTTGAAAAACGATTCCTTTTGTGAAAAGTTCTCTTATCTTCGAATTGTTGTTATCATCGTCAATGGTTCTGGCATGACTATGATGCTATAATACAGACATACTTCAGCAGATATTTACGTCATTTATGTAAACGACGTATGGATCTGCTGCATATAGCTCACTACAAACTACGTCCCATCTATACACATCTTCCGAAACCTTCTTTCAGTAACATAAGCAAAATAATTCAAACATGTGAGTCTATATTCAATTTTCGTTATTTTAAGGTCAAGTTTTCGCGGCTTCTCTGCCCCCCCCCCCTCCCTCATTACAGACGTTAGTAATCGATAGTAATAGGCGGCAGATTTTCAAAAGTTTTTTTTTTTTGAAATTGATCGAGTTATAATTTTGAAAAATAATCAGCATCATTATTTGTAAGTTGGTTACTATATATGATAGTGTGTAAGATCTGCTGTAGACATCATGAATATGTAAAACAGACTTATTTGTCAATTATTTCAATGATCATAATTATTACAATGTTAAATTTTTAAGAAAAACGAATTTGAAAAAGAAATGAAAAATAATGAGCGGATAGCAGCAATGAAAACAAAAACTAGGACGCCCATAAAAAGAAATACAAAAATTAGAGAGGTTCTTATCTCAGTGATTGATTCTCCTGCAAAACAATTATAATCTACGAGAAATTTTAGCCTCAAAAGGGCTGCGCTAACAAGCTTTTTCAATTTCGTTAATTGGTCAGTAAGGTAAGACGCTTCAAATGCACAAAAAAAGATTTCTTTAATTCAATAGTGTAAAATAAGTGAAAGCTTATGTGGTAGATTACTGAGCATTCGTTGACTGTGTCTGATATTTTGATTGGAATAGGTTTCAGCATAAATGATGAAGACGATTCGATAAATCTACCAATCTTTAAAAAATGATGAATATTTTTTTACCATCAGATTGCTCCATTCAATAGTAAATATTTTATTTCTAGTCAATTGAAGACTGAGTGTTTTCATGAAAATTTAACTCGATTAAATATATTCCAGAACAAAAAAAAATGAAAATATTAAGAATATCATTATTTCTGAATCACTTATCATAATTTTTTATCTTTGTTTTCCTTTTGATTACGTCTATTTTGACATTCGTATTTGCATTGAAATCATAACAACAATGATATCTTGATGGAACTATCAATGGTTGTTGTTGTCCTTTACTTTTGGACAATTGAATATATATTATGTAACATCAACTTGGCCGTTATCAGACGCTTCGAAAATTCAGCTACTAGGCCTTTTCGATAATGTATCAAATACATCTGAATCTGCCAAATTATCTATTCATAGTCGTGCTATGTTTAAAACAGCTGTATTACTATCTCAAAAATATAATAGAAGAATAGAAGAACAATTAATAGGATGGCGATCAGAAGAAACTGATGGTGATATAATTGATCCTCTTAGTAAAACATGTCAAGCATTGTCTGTTTCAAATATCGTTGGCATTGTAGGTCCAGGATTATCAAGAAAAGCTCATTTATTAGCTGCTTTTAGTAAAAGAATAGGTATACCTGTTATATCATATAGGGTAACTGATCCTGAGTTATCTGATCAAAATGCTTTTCCAAATTTTTATCGTACAGTTCCATCAGATAATTCAACTGCATTAGCAATTGTAAAATTATTTATTCAATTTAATTCAACGTCATGTATACTTATTTATCAAAATGATCCATTTGGATCTGGAGCAGCTAAAGTAATACATGAATTATTTATTCATAATGATTTACTCGTTGAAAAGTTTATAATCTTTGATCTTGCTACTCTTCGTATTCGAGGTGATTTGAAAACCTATTTAATGAATAGTGCAACTAGAATTGTTATTTTATGGGTTCAACCAAATTATGTGCATTCTATTCTAAGTAATGCTCTTAAACATGGTATATTAGGTCCACAGTTTACATAGATATTAAGTTCAAGTATTTCATTGAATAACTTTAACAAAAGATTTCATAGTAACTTGATTGGTTTACTTACAATTGAACCTGTTACAGGGTCTGTGTTTAATGCACCAATTAATACAACATTACTAATTAGATGCAGCTTATCAAATTTGGCAAAAATATGAGCCAGAATCATTTCCTGGATCAACAAAAGTAAATTTTTATGCATTATTTGCATTCAATGCAACATGGTCATTAATTCAATCATTAGACAAACTTTGTTCAACAATGAGAAATGATTCTTCTTCATATGTGTCATTTACTGAATCTTCATTGTGTTTTCATCGTCGTTTTGTTCACTCTGATTTATTATTGAATACATTGAGTAGAACAGATTTTCTTGGTGTATCTGGTCCTATAAAATTTACTTCTAATACAACCGATCGAATTAATGGTTCGCATTATTATGTACAAAATGTTCAACGTTCTTCAAATGGCTTAAATTTTGTACCAGTATTAGAATATGTTGATTCTGATGATTGGAAAATGTTCAAGGACACAAGTGTTATTATTTGACCAGGGAATTCCTTAGTATGTCCAACCGGTCGAGTAATACCGAAAGGTATATCTTTAAGAATAGGTGTTATTGAATCGATTCCATTCACCATGGTTACAAATGTTGTTGGTGAATTTGGGCAGAATAAAACTGTGTTACTCGGTTATATACCTGATCTTATTAAACTGTTACAAAATAAAATCGGATTTATTCCAAATATTACATTAGTACCATCAAATCAAACATATTCTGGATTAATCCAATCAGTAGTAAATGGTGATTATGATATTGTAATTGGTGATGTCACGGAGAATTCTATACGAAGAGAATTAGTCACTTTTTCTTACCCAATATTTGATAATTCGTTACGTATTGTTATGCGAAAAACACCTGACATTATTATTGATCTTCAATCATTCCTAAAGTCATTTTCACGTAATCTTTGGTTATTAGTATTGTTTGCTGTTATCTATGCTGGTTTATTAATTTGTCTTATAGAAAGAAATAATAATGAAACGTTACGAAATCGATCGAAATTATCTCAATTGACAATGAGTATATGGTATTCATTTGGTAACTTAGTTGGATATGGTGTGGATTTTCATGTCAACACAGCTGCTGGACGTTTAGTAACTGCTAGTTTATATATGTTAATTTTGATATTAGTAGCCACATTCACTGCAAATTTAGCATCAAATTTAACAATATTAAAATCAAAAAATATTATTTCTGGCATTGATGATATCAAAAGTGGGAAGATTCCATTTAATCGTATTGGTATTCGTGTTGGTACAGCCAGTGAAGATTATTATTTAAGAGAAATATCTGCCAATACTCGAAATTATTATGAATTTGAATCTGAACAAAAATTATATAATAATTTACTTGATGGCGTTGTTGATACGATTTTTATTGATGCTGGTATTGCTGAATATTATACTAATAATATTTATCGTAATTTAACTATAGTTGGAGAAGAATTTGATAAAGGTGTTTATGGAATTGTTAGTAGAAAGCATTGGTTATATGATGAAGATTTAGATGTTAATATTTTATCACTAAGAGAATCCGGTAAACTTGATGATTTAAGAGAAACATGGTTTCAAAAAAAGGGCTGTCCTAATATATATGAGAGATCGACAGCGATGTATATTGATTCAATGAGTGGATTATTTTTAATATTTGCAATCATTACTGTTCTCTCATTATTATTATCTATATGGACGAAACGATATATAGTGAAGAATTTTCTATCTCAGTTATTTGGTCAAAGAAAGTTATTATTCCAAAATAAAATTTCTATGGTAAAGCGGTTGAGCAAAACATCAAATTATACACAAAACTCTAAATTACCTTCGTCTACTATTGTTCAGTTCTGATGCTGAAACTTTCTTTATCTATTTTACTAGAATATTGATGAATTTCTCTGACATTATTTCAATTTTTATTATGCGACGAATATGATAAACATCATTAAGACTTTTGCAGACTCAACATTCAATGTTGAACTGATTTATTTTTGATATGTCATAAAGAATATTGACATTTTTTTTAAATAGCAACAAAGTGAAAAATCAAACATCCTGGCTTTAGGTTGCCTTAGCAATACTCGCTTTGAACCACTGATACAAAAATTAGTCGAGTGATCGGTATTTATTGAGAGTCAGGTATAATATTATCTTATGCACTTGTAATCTACTAAAAAGAATAGGATTTTTGAAGGATATATGGTGTGGAGTGCGAATGTAGCTGGCTGTTTATTTGAGTGTGTGGCTATATATATGTTCGTATCACTTCTTTTCAAAACACGAAGCCGCATCCTCTATTGAAAGATTTTTCTTTCCTATTTGTTTCTATAGACTTTGTCTATTTTGACATCTTCCCATTGACGTAAAATTTCATACAACTACGATCTTATGTTGAATTCGTGCATTGCGAACCAACTGCAGACTTACGGCGTATCTCTCGATATATTGACTTTTTTCATCTCTTTCTTTTTCTCTGCAACACATAGTATAAATAATAAGTTACACAATGAAAACCCATATGTGATGAACTCTAATGGAGAACAGGGATTCCAAATGTATTTCGACAATATAATTGTATATCGCAAGGCTTTGATAAAATATATTGAGTGTGGGTGTCAGATTTTTAACCCACAGCCACAGCGATACCTTCAAGATTAAAGTGTAGAACATCATTTAACCCCGCCATGTTTATTTCTTTTGTCTGTCGATTCCACTCAGAATAGTCTGTAAAATAGACACAATAATAAACGACGTAAAAAAGATGGATTCAAACAGCTTAATCGGCAGTTGAAAACGGCTTTAATACCGCTCGAGTATAATCTAAAGTGTCTTCTGCATCCACCATGACTAAGGTAGTTTTTAGAATTTATCATCCTTATTGATTAACAGCATTGTGAAGCTTCTGAACAACTCATTTTTCTAATATTACATTGACCAATGGACTTTTTTTTCGACTGACGAATAATGAAAAGAAAAAGAATGCAGCACAAGAGACATTTCTCTATACACATATAGTTTGTTGATAAAAAAGATGGCTAATTAGTAGTGTCGTGTGAAAACAACTTTTCTCGATTCTTATTACCGTTGTCGTAGAAAACTGATTGTTATCGTTCGTTCCCATTGCCGTGATATAAATTTTATTCGGCTCCCACTTCGGTGAAATTATTCATTATTTCCAGTCCTGTTTCCATAAAAGAATTATTTGTTACTACTCTCGCGATTGCTTGTGGTATTGTATTACTATTTCATTTTTCGTATTTGCAAAAAACTCTGATTGTCAGGCACTCGCTTGTATCAATGTCGAATTTTGCATGACGTCTGATGATTTTCAATTAAAAGTAAAATTATTGTTGAAAGTGCATTTCAATAAAATAAATCAATTATAATTTATCTGTTGAAATTTATCAACATTAAATTAGCCGAATTATTTTCTTCTACAATTCAACAAAGAAAGTAAGAAAAAAAGGTGTTAACGCAATTCTTGTCGATCTACCTCGAGATATAGTTCTTCTTCGTCTTTTATTTAATGCTCTAGAACTGTAATAAAGAAATAATTCAAATATTCTAACAACATGTCATTTATACAATGACTGTGATGGTTTCTGTAGGCTGATGTCACGGTTTGTGATAGTTTTTATAGAATGTGCGTCGTGGTCTATGAAAGGGTGTCAATTCCTACACTAGATCCTATAGCATTTCTTTTAGAGTATGCTTCATAAATACTAGTGCATTGACAACCAGAAAAAGTTCAAGAGAAGACGATAACCAGAATGGTGTATTGTGAGATAACGTGAATGATGATCGTTGTGAAGATGATGTTCACCAACAAAATTGTAGTTATTATAATTGAAGTGAAGCCTAATGAATAATGATTGGACTTCTTTAATTGTGGTTGATAGGTTTTTTCAATTATCCTTTTGATTGATTAGCAATGCTAAAGATTGTAGGCTTGGAATTTTTATAGTTCTCACGAAAGCAGGTATTTCGACGTTGCTGAAATCTTGTCAAGTGGCACGACATATCAGTTCAAGGTGTGGATTTTTGTATTGACGAGGGTTTTATTGAGTAACTTAGCATGTTTCCCAACATGTTACTCGCTCAAAGTATACACCCACGCTTAAACTATCTGCCAACACGCTCACACTCCACCCCACGCACCCTTGATTTATCAACCTAGTTACAGTGACTCCATCGTGTTCAATAATTCAATTCGATAGCGATTGTTCTAAGAGTTTATTCTTCAGTATGATTCTATACATTTAGTCTATTTTAGGAACTATCGATGGACATAATAGTTTCAATGGACCACAAATTTTACATTAACTTTCTATACTGGTGAAATATTCATCAAAGATTGTAATTCTGAATCGTATGTAGATGTATTCTGCATCTCTCAATAGGTTTTATTTGCTATCTTCGTTGTATCTATGAAAAATATTGTATAAATAATACCAAATGAAATTAATTGTTTAACAAATTACAATGAGAAACGGTGATTGCATTTTTTTTCGATGATGTGAACTAAAAGCGAAGTGACTTTGATAAAATATCTTAGATGCTTTTGGATGAATATTAATTAAGCACAAATATTCTGAATCATGCTTTGGGTGTGGGGGTGCGGGTATGACTATGTACTAGACAAATACCCACACCCACCCACACGCACACCCCACACCCTTCGGGATTCGAGACTGTCTCGTAAGTCTCTAATTGATGCAAAATTCCGTGATAGGAAGAGTCTACTTCTTAGAATACATACATGAGTTAAGTACCATATTTTAGTATCTCTTTGATAACAAAAGCTTTTCCCGATGTTAGTTGTGTAATTTCACAGTTATAGTAGAAGTGTGTGTGACATAATACAAAAAGAAACCACGGAACATAGACTAAAGGAGTTAGCTAAATACAAGGAGCATACATGAACTATTTAATTGGATGAAGTGTCAAAAGCAATACACTCATTCAAGTTCTTCATATCTGCTTCTTTTAAAAATTGTAAAAGAGCAATTTAATCTAATTCATTCCATAAATGATGATACATTTTCTTAATTCATTTCAAGTTAGTGTATTAATAGTGAGGATTTTCATCTTCTTTTTTACAGAGTGAACTTCATGGAGGATATGGTTTTAATTCATTGTTATGTATCATCAATCAAAAAGCTCATATTTAGAATTATGTCTAACATAGTCAAATTCATTTGAAGGAATAAACTCCAAGTAATACTGTTCTCATCATTTGTTTGCACGACTATTCTAAATATAGATTATATGCTGACAAAAACAATTAAGATTGACAAAGATATTTATTATTTGTTTTCCTACTTTTAATAATTGTATCATTGTTATTAGAGTATGCAAAGATAAAAGAAGAGAACAAGTTGATAATTCAACATAATGACTACATTTTGAGTGTAGATTTTGTCTATTTGTTTCTACAAAACAAGTATTATATAGAATGATATGATCAAAAAGAGAATATGATAAATACAATAGTATTTATTATATATATAATAAATGAGACAATCTATGTTCAGTTCATTGCTTCTCCGAAAAACATTTATTGTTTAGAAATCTTTTATTTAAAGGATGAATTTATATTATTTTTTTATTTTCTCAAGTTCGATCAGATCTTCCAGAAGGATGTTTACGTATGATTGTACTTTAACAATAATTCTTGGCTTAACTCGTAACTATCTTTGAACAAGATTTTTGTCAATTAGTGAAACAATTGAAGCAATTTGTCTTTCTTGAGATTTATGGTATATAGTTTCTTATGAAAAAGTAGAAGCTTATCATGCAATGGTTCAAACTCGTTTTCCTAATAGTCGAAGTCATGTTGACATATCAAGATTTTGTCTTTGGCTTTGATTTCTAATTCCTTATTTATCTTAATAAATGTACTTTTGAGATAATTATGATGCTTGACAATTTGTTCTTTTTATTGTTGTTTGTGAAGTGTTTAATAAACTGAAAAATAGTTATATAGAATAATTTAATGGTGAATGTATACTTTTCTTTGTTTATCTTTCAAAGTACTTATCGCAAACAAAACTAACATAAAATGGAAGTGATTATTCTTTTTTCTTTCTCGATAGTTTATGATATAATTTATAAAGATATACTCAAAATTGATGATTCACCGAACCAATGATCTTTAATTCTTAATATTTCAAGAATATTTTTACATGATAAGCTATCGTTTTCGACGAGACGTAGGTCACATTACATCATTTATCCGTATGAAATATCATCGTTCTTTTTCCTTTGTAAGCTCATCAATGCCAAATGAACAATACCAATGTAGTCCTAGATAGAAGTATAATTAGAAAGGGGCATTGTAAAATATAAGTTATATTGACATTAAATCCTTCTGTTTTTAGGCCGAGTTACGCTCAGAGTTCTAGACTGTTTACTAAATAAAACTGAACCAGTGTATAAAATAGAATATGTAAATAGCTGAGTTTGTTCAAATTTTAATACTTTATCTTGTAGCAGCTAAATCAGATGCAAAATTTCATGGATATTTGTGAATTGTCTTTATGAAAATTCGAGAGCGCTCAATACTCGAATCAGTTTAGCTTTTCATCTACTCAGTCAAATGTGCTAAAAATTTGGCTTTACAATTCTCATATGACACTGATTAAGCAGTGAATGTCAAATCAAAAATCACATAGTGACTGGTACCTCGGTTCCTTGATCGTCATTTAGATGCTGTCTTAATTATTAGTCATACCAGATACCCAAGCAGGCCATTGAGCCCACCTGCCTGCTTGGCACAGACACTGGCTCATTTTTTTAGCAGAAAACGCAGTTATGAAAAGACAAAGTGGAAGTATCTTTGATCCTACAATGTCAAAACGTTATGTTGTGCTTATTAGTAATAGGTAACTGATCAGGTTTTAGACATGTTCTCGTTGCGTCTTCTAACCAACGTCCAAGTAATATGGTAAATTGTTAAAGAAATTTCATTCTTCGCTAATATGTGATGAGAGCCAAAAGCAAACTTTTCTTTTATTAGTTGCGATCATGCTATAACAAACTGCTTTGATGGACAAATATAAAATTGCAGTAAAGCTCATGTTGAACGCTTTTCATAATCACATTATTGGCAACAAATATTATACTGTTTTTTCAAAAAACATTGTAATATCATATTGTCCAACGTCAGTTAATTGTACTGCACGTTTAAGAAAGTTAACTCGAGTTTGATTATAAACTTCCCCCTCATAATAAAAGACCCCTCCGGAGGAGTCGCTCCATAGAAGTTTTGTTTTTTCACCAGCAAAAATGTACAAAATTTACAAAAGTTCGCTGGGCCATAATAGAAGACCCGGTGTCTTTCCTTGTAGGGGGTGGGGTTACACCGCAATACGTTAATAAGCAAATGAATAATAATGATGCTTAAATCTTCATATGGTAAGCAACAACTACAAATTGGGACACTAAATGTTAACATAACGTATTGACTACATGCATCCCTGGGAAAAAGTCTTTCTTCCTTCCCATCTATTCCACCCCCGAGCTCATTTTTATGTAGGAGGGTGGAAAGACTTTTTTCCCACAGATGTATAGTATTCCTCTTCTCTTGAATAATATGACATTCAATCTTTTTCTCTTTTCTCTCTTTGAAAAGTTAATATATATATATATAAGTGAAATATATGACCACAGAGAAAAATCAAGTTAATCTATTCTCTGATTACTTACAACAAGGGAAAAAATAGGTAAGTTCGTATTAAATCGTTTCATCCAGTTTCAAGAATAAGTCATTTCTTATTATCTGTCTTTTTTCTTCAACAGATAGAAACATAGTTCATTATTCGTCTACTCTCGAAACAATTTCTCTTGCGCTCTGTTCTATTATTTCATTCAGCTCATCAAAAAAAAACACAACAGGTTACAATCCATGCACGATTCAGTATAAGTAACACATATCTGTACCCAGGAAAAAAGTTTTTGAAAAAAATTCACTTTAAGCGGCGATTTTTTAAACTCCATCGCGGTAGTTTCTGGTTTCAAAAACAGCGGTTTACCAAGTGAGAACGTTGTATCGAATATCGCGGTGGTAATCGATTTCTGATACCGCAGTAATTTGACTGCGAACCGTGGCATCGAATATCATAACAGTTTCTGGTTTCAAATACTGCGGTATGCTCGCTGAGAACCGTTGTATTGAATATCGTGGTGGTTACCAGTTTCTGATACCGCAGCAATCTCACTGAGAAGCGTGGTATCATATATCGTGGCAGTTTCTGGTTTCATATATCGCGATATGCTCCTTGACGACCGCGGTTTTGAGCATAGGTGGCGCATCAGCACTACAAAGAGTAACAATGGTCTCCCATAAAAATAATTTGGGGACGTAATAAATCTTTTGAAGTGCCTATTTTTTATACTAGAGTAAGACTAGTCACTCCAACGTATATATATACTCAGATGGAGTGTGCACGTACTGTAGAAAGATTGATTTATAGTTATATTATTTTATTAATTATTATCCTGTTGATTATACATCTCGTGGCACATATGTAAGATTTGCTTGTTTAAGCAATAAGAAATCGAAACTTTCATTATTTTGACCTCTTTTTTTTCCGTGATTAACGATGTTTTAAGTTTTCTGCTGGATGACGACCAGAGGTCTAACTGCAAGCCATCTCAACACAGAAAATATTTTGAAGAAAATTGTGGTTTCGTTTTGATAACCGTGGTATTCAATATTCCTACAAACAGTAGTTGTAGAAACCGCGCTGATCCCGATTGTAATCACATTATCTAACCATGTAGTTTTTTAAAATATCAAATACTCAGAGAATAGTTATAGCTATAGTCACGATTAATGTCATCAGTTTTTTTGTCAAGATAGTTTTTCATAAAACCTGGGTTTTCACGTAACAAGTTGCAGTTTTTTATATTGATGTGCATATACTGTTCACTACATCACCCTCGAAGGGCAACTCACCTTGAGTTTGGAAACACTTCAGGTGGGTCTGGCATCCTGAGCCAGGTCAGCTGACTCAGGCGTACTTAGATTCACCACGCTGTACCGTCGTCTGAAAAAAACCGCGGTTGAAGTGACCACAGTTCATCATGGTTTTTCTTCAAAACTTTTCCCGTCGATATTGTGCGTATGAGAATAAATACACTAAACTGAGATAAACTTCATATTGTGAATCAAGTAGAACACTCGTGAGTAATTTCAATGCGAATTGTACTTATTTTAAGTACTCGAAACTTGTTAAATGGTTGCTTGTTCGTGTTCTCCCAAGCCAATCCGTAAGTTGATCTGAAATTTTCAATATTTATTCATCCAAAAATCCAGTTCGCCAGTTAATTTAAATGTGAAACTTGAGCTTCTTAGTATACAAAGAATAAGCATTAAATCTTCTAATAATAGAATATTTATTGTTTTGCTATTATGTGATCGGGTATGTAATTGATACTTGAGAATTTAATTACCAAACATGTGAGACAAGAAATTCATATTGATATTTTCCAAAAAAATAAAGAATATTTACAGTAAAAGGCAGCTAGAACAAATGAGGTTAGATTTCGATTTTCGAGACAATTCGTAGAAATTGTTTCATAGTATGAGAAGGCAATCTTGTTCTAAAAATGACTATAAATCTTCTTGCAGTAATTGCATTTCAAGGGTCGATACGAAGCATCTACAATGTCCAAAAATTTTGCACTCAAAAATGTTTTTTCGCATAACTTCACAATTGATTGAGTTTTATCAGCTGATTTTCTTTCGTATGACAAGTGACACCATCAAGCTTTTATTTCTACAGACAACCATTGAAAGTTCTCTTTAAAGTAATTCCCATTAGCCTAGTTATAAAAGTGCCACCTTTTTTCTAATTTCAATAATAATATTGTGTAGCATTCCTTTTTTAATTGTTTAACTTTGGATGTGATATTATTCGATTTGTTTTTACGAGAAAACATCAAAACAAATTTATAAAAAATGACTGTTTGGAATTTGAACACTTCAAAAACCTGAAAATTAATCTAGAAATTTCAGTAATTAAAAGAAAACATTGTGAAATATTATAATGGAATAAAAAAAATGTTGAATTTTTGTATCTCGGCTGAAGATAATTACTTTGAAGAGCACTTGAATAGTTTGTCTATAGAAATAAAAAACTTGATCTTACCATCTATCATACGATGAAAGTCTGTTAATAATGGTCAATCAATAATGAAATTATTCAGAAAAACATGTTTGCGTACGGATTGGTGGAACATGCCGTACATTTGTCAATTCATCATTTAAACGAAATGTTTATTAATTGTTACCAAGTTTTTTCATCAAAAATTTGAAAATTTTTGAGCGATCGCCAAAACCACGTTCAGAAATATTAATCTTAAACAGTTCTAACGCGTTTTTGGCGACTAATCAAACATTTTTAACAGTTTATAAAGTAACATGTTGGAACACTGTTTTTGGTTGTTAACGTGTCTGCCTGAGTTGTCACACATGAACATATTAAAATGCTTATTCAGAAAAGTAACCTTTATGAAGAATCAAAGCTACATGAAAGATGAGTATGCTCTGCTTTGCTTCAAATAGCCCACAGTCTTTTTATTCGCAATGAGTATCAAAAGGGGAGTTAAAAAAAACTTTTTTTTAACTTTCATTTGTTTTACCTTTAAAGCAAAATACAAACGGCGTAGGTTAGCTGTATATATGAAATAAAAAATAATGTTTTTTTTTTGTTTCATTAATACTTGTAATTTCTTTTTATCAAAAAATTAATAAGAATATGAACAAGGATATTTTTGATGTTATAAAGTAAGTGTTTGATATTTGTATTTATGAATGATGTCGTTCATGCTTGATTGAACATTTGATATTTCTATGATGGATACGTATATAAATTAATGATTATTAGTTTTTTTTTATTGTAAGAATTTATTTCTACTTTGTTGATTTAGACAAAATGAGAAAATTTGATGCAGCTAAAGCTGTATTTGAACAAATTGATACAAATCGAGATGGAAAGTAGGAATTAAGAATTTTTATCAAAATAATAAATCCATATATATATATATAGTATTGATAAAAATGAAGTTCGTCAATGGGTTTCAAATGCTGAAGGATTGCCTTCTTCATCACATGAATCATCAACTAGTGAACGTATTCTTCATGATAATACTACTAGTCGATTTGATCGAAATAAATATGAAGTTAGTTGTCAAAATGCTTCGGAATATACAGCTGATAAATATATTTCATGTGGAAGTACAGCAGTAGCTAGTGAGATGATTAATGATACGGTGATTCGTACAAATAGTTCAGAAGAAACGAATCAATATCTTGAAAAATCAGCTAATAATATTTATAAGGATCCTAATCCACAAATTATTCGACGAGCAACAACTGAATGTCCAGTAACATATGAACAACGAGTTAGTGTTCGATATCTGCAGCCACCAGCTGTTCCACCACCAGGAGTAATGCAACAAATGTTTACAAATTCAATCTTACTAATCTTTGCATGATTTTAGCCACTCATTATTAAAGAAGTGCGTCCACCACAATCACCACCACCTCGACCACTTGTCGTACGCCAACATGCACCACCTCTTCCTTCGCCACCTCCACTTATCTTACGTGAACGGCCACCAACACCACCGACATGTGTTCCTAGTGAAACGGGTTAAAAAGAAAAAAAATTAAATTACATAGATGCGATTGATAAATGTATTTTATTTTACAGTTACTCGCTGTTTACCTGCTATACCTGTTCCACCACGATCAGTTGTCATCGAACGTATTCCATCTCTTCCAGAAAAACCACGTAAACGAATTATCTTCAGTTTCCTTTTTGTGTTTTTTTTTATTTTCAGATTGTTGTTTCTGTGCTATTTAGGCGATATTATAATTGAACGATGGATTCCCTATGGACCTCAACCTGAACGTCGTACAATTACTGAACGCGCTCCTCCTGCTATAATATATCCAGAACCACGTAATAGGGTTGTTGTTTATGAAGCTACTGAAGCACGTACAGTCCGAAAATTTCAAAATCTTGGTGTTGTTCAAGAAAATCCTGCCGATTATGTAGTTCGTTATGGAACATCACTTTTAGATACAGCGACACTTGTTCAACAGGCTCGTAATGCTGGTGTTATTGAAGATATAGTAAATATTTTTTCAAAAAACTCTTCAACCAAAAGAAAATACATAAATTTTTTACTGTAGTCACCTCCAGTACTATCATCTTCAATGTATACAAATATACGCGGAAATACTGATTTCGGTCAGTCAAATGAAATAATCAGTCGAGATTTTTCATTATCAGGTGGAACTGGTTGTGCAGGAACTCAACTAGCTACTGGTACACAAGGTATTAATCGTGGTAATACAAGTTATTCATCATCAGCATCGAACTGCATTGGTGATAGTGCTGTAGCTATCAATGTTCGTATAACCCTAAGTGGATTTCATGGTTGTGATGCTAATCTTACCGCTACTGATACTTACCGTGATAGACAATTAAAACAAGAAGAATTTCAACGATATATTTAAAACATTATTTAAATACAATTCTTTCCTTTTCTATTTTAACACATTTCTTTTTTTTATTTTTTTACAACGGAACATATAAACTATATAATAAAAGACACGAAAAAAAATCAAACACTACTGATACTACTATCAGCTGAATCACTTTTTCTCGTATACCATATGTGTGTTATTTTTAAGCAAGCTGTTTGCATTGTATCGTACCATAGATTAGGATTTAGATGTGGATGTGACCAGATGTGTTCAGTCCGATAACACCTACACTCATAGCCACCCCACACCCTGAAGTTATCGAGAATCGGCGAGTGTTGCAATCAGATACAGAGTCAGCGAGAGACTTCTTAGCATTATAAATAAAAATGGCAAATGTGCAGGTTCTTAGTAAGAACAAGATAATAAGAATGAACGTGTATAGTCTAGTTTTTGGTAAAAAAATGCAGCGAAATCACTTTGAAGATCTCTATTATGGATACTGATGAGGAAGCTATGAATCCTTTGCAATCACTGCAACATTGAAATGTCAAACACAATGGTTCCAGTTTAATCACAATACTATCAATGAAAAACTGTTTATTGCTCTATTCTAACCAATCGTTGCATGCTTCGATGTCAACATCATTTAGAAAAGCCTGCTTCGAACTCACCTACGTAGTATACTTCGGAATCGATGTATGAGACATATGTATATCAAACTCAAATTAATTTCTATATTTGTTGAAGAATTTTCGACTGATTAGAAACAGAAAAACGGTTTCATGTGCAATTCACTGTCATATGTTGTCCTAATATAATAGTCGATGTATAAGTAATTGAAATATCTTATAAATGAAAGGTTTAGGGTACGGGTGGGATGTGGAGTGCGGGAACACAGGAAGAACCTACACAGATACCATCTGCATCTACTTGTCCAAAATCATCAAGATATATTCATGTCGCCAAAGTTGATCATTCTTGTAGACAAGGAAGTAATTATGATTCACATGCAAAATAAAATCTTCTAATTGAAATAGATAACATCAATAATGACATGATACCTATTTAAAGCATGAAAGAAAAACGTTTTGAAAAAGAAACATTTTGATGCGTTTCTCAAAAATATGTTTTATCGTTAAATTGTATCTAATTATTATTACGTTTATTTTGTTGATTTAATTTTAATTACAATAATCAATGAAGCAATAAGAAAAAAATACAGATTTTAAAACTTTCTTTTCTTTTAGCAACAAGTCATTTTTTAGCTGATGTTACTGTTGTAGTTAATACAATAGCTGCATTCATTCTAGATTTAACTGTATCAAAGATTTGTTCATCAAAATTAAGATTTTCATGAATTTCCTATATATATATTAATTAATGCTTAGAAAAAAAACAAATATATTTATAATAACACAAACACTAATTGACGAATTATATCAATATGATTTGAAATTTGTATTGTACAAATTTAATACTTTTATATATGTTTTATATAAAAGCATAGATATGATTTTCATCGAATAAATGAATAATTTGTGTAATCAAGGTTGTAGTATTGAACAAATACGAAACTCCAGTTTTTATTATTTTACTGAAGTAATAACATCATGTATACCTAGAGGTATTATGCAACTATCTACAAAATGTTTCTAGTATTATCAGGGTGCGGGTATGGTTGTGAGTGTGGGTGTCAGTCCTCGAAGGATCCACCGACATCCCACAACTATACCCAAGCGACGTGTATACTATAAAAGACGACTATTCGTCTGAAAAAGTTCTTTGTGCCGAAAAAAATCAGTTTTTCGTACAGCAGTTGTTCGATGACGCATCTCCGATGGTATTGTATCACAGTACGGGATAAACTCGAATATTATTTTTGTTTGGAAGCTCATTTTTTCTTCAAAAAACAATCTTCAGTAAACAAAAACGCATGTTCTCCTTAAAAAAAATTATCAAAACTCGCCCTTTTTTGATGATATTTCTTAGACTTATTAGCAATTTTTTGGACCCAATGTACATGTCTCAAGGCTAGCGAAAGAAGAAAATCAAAAAAAGAGCTATAAGAGTTCCTAGATCGGAGTATTTTCTGTTAAATAAACAAAAAAGAATACACTTTTTCAATCAAGTTGACTGAATGCCATTGAAGATGTGATAAACAGAAAATGTAAATGTTATAAAAATACTAAAATTATCCTAACAGCCACCAAGAATGAGATGTAAAGCTAAAATTTCTTTTTGTGTAATTGGATACATCCAACATTTGCACAAGGTTTCAGCTCAATTTGATTGTTTCTCTTAGCTGTTTTACCTTTTGGAGAATTTCTTTTCGTCTTTACAAATCAGAACGACTGCTCTTTATTCGACATACATATAAGAATGATTTATATCATGAGCAAACTATTCAAAATTCATCTTGATTTTGTGTCGGATGTCACCTTTTCCGGTTGATGAAATTCTATTATTCGAATGAGAAAATGCAAGTTTAATATTGTTTTAATGTTTGTAAATTGAATATGGCAAAAAAAATCAATCTAAAAGGTGTATATATGTACTTAATTCTATAAAATATTTCCACAAAATATGTTTTTCCTCTACATAGTGCACTGCATGATTAATATTTTTGATCACAATCACGATCGTGAATTTGATGATCATGCAGTATATTGATATCTAATCAGCTTTTGTATTTTGTCTTTTTGTTCAGTATCATATTAAAGCCTTAAAAGAATTAGTTTTCGTCAGAACGATCGGAATTAAGATCAATCCATGAGAAGATTGTTCGTGATCTGCTCTTCGGTAATTGAGAAGACTTTTTATTCGATAGCTCTTTTTTCCACAAATGTTTGATGACTTCTATAATCAATTCCTTAAAAAAAATTCTCTTTTCAGAAAAGCAAGAAATCTTGTTCAGTTTTTCTCTGTCTATGTTCTTTTGATCATGAAGTCTAGAATTCTCGAAGGATCTTCCTTATAGCCAAATACTTTTTTTTGTTTGAAACCATATGTCAAGATGCAATGTATGACAGATTCTCTTTTTTTAATTAAGCTTTATTAATAACATATAAAATAGTACTTCTAAAATAAGAGCGTCATTTTTTCAAAGTTTTTTGTCACATTGAACTTTTCATCCCTTATCACGCGTCATTAGAATGAAGGCTCACCAAGAATTTCAGGTACCAAATGAACCATTTTTGACCTTTGTTTGTGAAATATTTCCCTGAAAATGTCATGATAGAACGTTGAAAATTTTACCACAATCTCCTCACTACAATCCTAACGTCGTCTGAAAATTTCATGCGGTTTGAGCGTTTCTGACCCCAAATTGACTTTTGACAAAGAGGCTTAATTGTCAGATCTTTTTTCCTGATTTAAATGTGAAGATTAAATTTCTGAAGAAATACTTAAGATTTTCAACAAATATATTATAATTGTGATCACAAAATCTTAGTTTCGATCACGATCACACAATACATTACGACTAGCAGAATTGTGACGAAGTTAATTTTGCCTACAAATACTCAATTGAAAAAAAGAAAAGAAAGAGTTTAGAAGCATCGATTTTTCAAAAGAATACATATGATACTTGAAATCTGTTTATAAATACAAAAATTTATTCAAATAATTTGAGAAAAAACAAAATTTACATTAAATGCTGAACTGATGCTTCTGCGTGATAACACATAAAATACATTTTTCATGTAACAGCATCATTATTTTTGTGGATGATTAATTGTTATTGCATCTACAAACATGATTTTCAATTGTTAAATTCAAAAGCTGCATTTTTTTTGATTAAAATCAAATTTGTAAAGCGACGCTGCTGCTAAGCCATGGGATTATATGTTAATTCTTTCTTGAAAAACAGACAAGAAGACAGTAAAAATATTTATTAAAGTAATTGTGAATAGGTAAAGAAAAGACTAAAGATAAAAATAAGTAATTTTTCCAAGAAAACTAATTTCATAATATACGATGAAGTGGAACGTGATCTGTAAATAAAAACAACATACATATTGTAATAAATCACAGGTACAGCTCTATTATATATCTTGAAATTATTGATTATCATAAAGTCAAGTAACATATAAAAAAACATTTAAAATAATATATTTACTATTATGTCTGTACAAGTAATAATTTCATCCAAGAAGAAATGTCATATGCAAAACATATCGATACAACAACAATTTAAACAAACTTGGGATGAAATCACAAACGAGTTTTGTTTGTTCTATGAAAATTCTCATCATGAAGTCAGCTAGAAGTTCACACTAATAATAATATCATAGTTTTGTGAGGTGCTGTATTCTGCATACAGAAAGTATGGACCATTAGTACAAAAATATGCTTACTAAGCAATAGATTTCTGTCTGGTGATAAACTGGTAGATTAAAAAGTTATTATTTCATGACAGCTATAACATACATGTCAAATAACAAAACTAATCATAATTAACATCAACAGTGAGCAATACAAACTAAAGGATATTTGTTGTCGACCATCTCGTTGATATCTAACGCTTGATTCTTTCTATCTTTCATGTCATTTCTCATTCAAGATTAAGCTTTAAATGACAATGAAAGAAAAAGAAATCTTTAGCAGAGAAAACACATGCATACTTACGAAGATGTAAGAGAACTGTCACAATTAACTTTTGTAGTTGGAAGTCAGCTGAAATCGTTACTTCACTAGAAAATACAGTATTAATATCTTTTTCAAGTGAATATTTTGAACAGAATGCTTTTAATTGTCAAGTTGATAGAAAATTCTCTTTAATATTTCTATTCAAAATAATAGAGTTATTCTTTAAAGTATTTCCTAAGTGTCTCTCAATTTTTCAACATGATGATAAAGAATTTTTCAAGATACTAGGTCGAAAACAACTGCTGAAGTACTTTCAATATTTGCAACGAATTTTATTACAATCTCATATGATCAATGTTAGATTCAATAAAAAGAAAATGCATTCAAAAATAAAGGAGATCTATTTTTAAAAACATTAGCACTCTTAAAAAAGTCCACTGAAA